GCTTGTCTCATTACCTAATAGAGAAACCAACAACAGAAAACAAGTATGATAATTGTTCCTTATAAAAACTCAAGACTCCAGACTCTTGAAAGTTTTCAGAATACCCCTGGCTTTTTATGGGCTGTACCAGTATTCTTGTTTCTGACTGAGTTGAGAACGGAATATTGGGTGCATCACAATGAGGTACATCAGCCAATTCCCTTCTGCCCCTCTCATGTGAAGACTGTCAAGCTATAACAGTTATAAACACAGCTTGGTAGAGTAAAAGAGCATGAGTGTTTCTGATGGGGATTAGGAAGCAGAGTTCTGTTTACTCTGTTCCTGTAGCTCACGCAGATTCAGCAAGTAATCCTGCAAACTTCAGTCACTGTCATGTATATTGGGGCTTGGAATTAATGCCAACAATCATTAAAGTCATTGTTCTGTATGAGGGAAAATATGGAAGGGCAGATTAATTCACTATGTGACACTGTAGGGCATATGATAAAGCCAGGCACAACACACAAACACCACATATGCTTTCACAAACAAAACCAAAAATTATCTCCCTATGTTCTAGTAACATAATCAGAAAACATGAGTGTCAGCTATCTTGTTTATGCAATAGTTCCACCAAGATTTCATCTCAGCAGAAAAACAAACAAAAAAAAAACGTATAAAAGAGTCCTGTTAATAGCAGGCAATTCACCTGATCATCCTGAATCTGTTTTTTATGAAAAGGAAAATGTCAAAGTTTTAGTTTTACCTCTAAATAAAACCTCATTGCTTGAGCCCCTTTAACCAGGGTATCATTTTTGTCAAGGCAATAAACACACAACTGATATTTGATTGCAATCAGTAATTGATGAATACCTTAATCTGGACATAATGCAGTCCAAGAATTCATTTACTAATGCTGATGCAGTAACATTCACCAAAGCTGCAATGAAGGAACTAAAGTGGAAAACTATAAATGTCTGCTGGAAGAACTTATGGACTGAAATTGTGATTGGGGGTAAGGAAAGGGGACATATGTAATACTTTTAACAATAATGATTTAAAAATAAATAAAGGCTTCCAGGGATTGATGGAGAAGTCAGAAAAAAAAAAAAAACATTCACACAGCAAGACATGTTGGTGGGGAAAATTTGCTGACATGTTTTATGAAGTTAAAGAACATATTTTTTTATATATATATTTTATTGATTTTATACAGAGAGGAAGGGAGAGAGATAGAGAGTTAGAAACATCGATGAGAGAGAGTTATCGATCAGCTGCCTCTTGCACACCCCCTACTGGGGATATGCCCGCAACCAAGGTACATGCCCTTGACCGGAATCGAACCCGGGACCCTTCAGTCCCCAAGCCGACGCTCTATCCACTGAGCCAAACCGGTCCCGGCAGAACATATTGAAGGCCATCAAGTGTTAACAAAAGAGGATTCAGAAAAATTTGTTGAGTTATCTACAGAGGAAAAGGAAGATGAAGAAACTGAAACAGAACCAGCAATGTGGACATTACTAGCATTTGCAGTTTCTAACTGCAGGCATTAAAGGACAAAATTAAGGAATATGACCTTCAGATAAAACTCAGATTAAAGTCACCCACATGATCACCAAAGGATTACCTGGACAGCAACACTTCCATGAGTTAAAATAAAAAGACAACAATTTCAGATTGCAATGTTCTTCAAAAGGTTTCAGAAGAAAAAAAAAAAAACTTCAAATATTGGAGATTCCCAACCATCAGCATCATCTGCTTCTGATATGCATCCATGTCATGGCACAGTGATCCAGGATCAAACAGATGAATCTCCTTGCATATAATCAGGTCAGTAGTAGCCTAACATTACAACACAGTGTCTATATCATTCACCTCAATTTATCCCACCATGTAGGCATTTTATCATTTCACATCATGAGGAGAGTGAGTACAGTACACTAAGATATTTATGAGAAACTACATTGACATTAATTTTGTTACATTATATTGCTATAATTATTCTATTTTATTAATTATTGTTAATCTCTTAGTGTTCCTAATTTATACATTAAATTTATCATAGGTATGTATGTATAGGAAAAAGCATATGGTGCTATCAGGTGATTTCAGGCATGAACTGTGAGTTTTGGAAAGTATCCTACTGTAGGGTGACCTACTGTAGTTCTACTGAAGTTTATCATAAAGCACAAACAACTGTAGATGAGGTGTAAATTAACACAAAATGTGGACATACATAATGACTTTATAGTATGTATTAATTGCTACTTCATGTCTATCCCTATGTAGTACTGACTCCTCCAAATGCTGATATACTCAGGTTGATATTATGACTATAGCTGTTATATAAACCCTATACTAAATGTAGATGCTCAGAAAAATACTATTGTTTTCGTGTCAGAGAGCCTGGGACAAAAGCCAGGCAGGTAAATTGAATAGGAAATAGTTGATTTAGCAAGTGTAAGTTGTTCAAACCTTGCAAATTCCCAGAAGAGTCTGTTTTCATCAATGGCCCTTATCCAACTGCTGGACATTAAGGTCTTGGAATTTTTTAACTCATACAAGGTTTTTTGCACACTTGGAGCTTCTTTGAACCACATTGGACCAATGTCTAGATAGTTTGTGTAAATAATGAAATTTAAAGTGATCATTTGCAGGCAGTATGCCTATGTGATCAAGCCCCAATAAAAACTCTGGAATCTTATGCTCAAGTGAACTTCCCTAATAGACTATAATTCACACCTATTGCTACACTTTGTAAATACAAGAATTAAGTATATCCTGTGCAGTTCCACTGGAAGAGGACACTTAGAAGCTTGTGCCTGGTTTTCTCCAGATTTTGCAGCATGCACCTAATTCCTTCTGCTGATTTCTCTTTGTATCATTTTTTTGCTGTAATAAATCATAACCATAAATATAGTGAATTCTGAGTCTTATTGAGTCCTGGAAGCAGTCATTGGGATCCCCTGCACAGGTATACTACATCATATTCAATTAATATAAAAGAATGCAGTAATGGAGGAATAAAGCAGGTATGTAAGACATATAAAATAGCAAAATTATAGATGTAAATCCTACTTTATCAGTAATTAAATATAAATAAATAAATAAATAAATAACAGAAGGCTTATCAAAAACATACAAGAAAGGCAGTGAAGCAATGTCAAAGTACTGAAAGAAAGAAAAGCTGCCAAACTAGAATTCTATACTAGTGAAATATCTTTCACAAATAGAGGTGAAATGGAGACTTTTTTCTGACATAAAAGCTGAAAGACTCCATTACTAGGAGAGCTATATCATGAGAAATGTTAAAGGAAGTAATCCGGATAGAAGGAAAATAAAACCTGATGAAAATCTGGATCTACACAAAGAAATGAAAAGTACCAAAATGGATAATAACTTTTTTTCTTATTTCTTTTACATCCTTTTACATCTCTTTAGTAGCACCAAGGCTGGGGGGATGGAAGAATTTTGTTGAAATTCTTTTATTATACATGAATAGATTGTGATAAGTTAAAGGTGTATGTAAACCCTAAAAAAAAACAACAAGAAAGCATTATATCTAATAAGCCATTAAAAGAGATAAAATGGAATGATAAATATTATTCAATCCAAATCAGTGTAGAAAAAGAAGAAAAAGTGAATAAAAAAACAAATGGGCCTATCATAACCACAGACAATGGGATGGTGAAGGCCTGGGGCGGGGGCGGGGGCAAGGGCGGGCTGGAGGAAGTCAATGGGGGAAAATGGGGGTCATATGTAATACTTTCAGCAATAAAGAATTATTTTTTAAAAAGGACAAATGGGCCTAATAGAAGGCAAATATAAACAGCAAGATGGTAGGTTTAAAACCATTCATAACAATAATAACATTAAATAGGCAATGTGGGTAAATGCCGGTATTCACCAGCCCTCATAACCACATCAAAATTACAAAACAACCATCATTCAGAAACACCTGAAATCTGGCTGAATGGAAGTCCTACAACTAGAAAAGTTGTCCTCTTTATAGGACATTGATGGCATTAACAGTACTTAGCCCTTCCTTGTAGGCATCCAGACATTCTTGGTTTGATCTATGTAAGTTAAAGTTACAAATGCAGGAAATGCCCCACCATTTTTGCACTGCAATACCCTACCAGCACTACATAGGATAGGAAATGAATTGGGAAGAACATAATGGCTTGACTGAAAATAAATAAATAAATAAATAAATTATATATATATATATATATATATATATATATATATATATATATATCTCCTATACAATAAAAGGCTAATATGCAAATTTACCAAACAGGGGAATGACTGGCCGCTATGATGCACACTGACCACCAGAGGGCATATGCTCAACACAGGAGCTGCCCCCTGGTGGTCAGTGCACTCCCACAGGGAAAGCGCCGCTCAGCCAGAAGTCAGGTTCATGGCTGGCGAGCACAGTGGCAGTGGCAGAAGCCTCTCTTGCCTCTGCAGCAGCACTAAGGATGTCCGACTGCAGGCTTAGGCCTGCTCCCCAGAAGGAGCAGACCTAAGCCAACAGTCGGACATTCCCCTAGAGCTCCTTGACTACAAGAGGGTACAGGTCAGGCTGAGGGACACCCCACCCCCCGAATACACGAATTTCATGCACTGGGCCCCTAGTATATATATCCTGGGTCTGCCAATTGAGTGAGGATATTAAGGAAATGTAAAATATAAGGAAGAATTTTTTTTCATCCTCTCTCAAGTTATCAGCATGGAAATTAATTAGTAGAGGAAGGTGAAAACAGCTACAAAAATGAAAACTCCCTAGAACTAAAAGCAAACTACACAAAATGCAAACTATACTGGGCCAAACAACTTATTCCCATTTGAGTTTATTTGTGGCTGCAAGAGAAGTTAATAAATTAGAGAACAGTTCAATGTACTGAGGGGTAAGCAATTGGCATAAAGTATTATTAAAATATTTTTCAAGAGTTGTGTGTGTTTCATTGTTGAAAATGGTGCTGACAGTCAAGAAAGAATCAAATAAAATAAAGAAACCTCAAATCTTTTCTTTTTACTATATCCACTTTCAAGTTACAAAACATCTTTAACACAATTTTCTCTGCCAGTTCTCAAGTGAATCAGTAAAACAGATAGAAACTCAAAATATAACTATAATATTACACAAGATAATTAACTTTACTTTAACAACTTAGTCAGTTCCAAAGTATTTCTGTCCAAAATGTGTAGGTGCAACAGGATGAACTTCAGTAGTTAAAATTGTGATATCTGGGAACTCTTGAATGATTGATTTGGCACCTTCAAAAAAATAAAAGGAAGAAAATTATTATTAATGCAGGATTTCTGGTAACATTAGTTCAAATTCAGGAATTTTACAGTCATTCATTAGGCCTCATATTGACAGAGGATTGAGAGCAATGACCTTCGAGTACCGAGTGAGATTTGGTCTCTTAGTTTTTAATGTCTGATATCTGAAAAGCTTTGATAATAGTCAGATTACACCTTCGCTCACTCACTAATAAATTCTTACAATCAATTATTTCATATCCATGATTTGAAAAATGTATTCCATTATAGCAACTTCCCCCCGAAGAGTCTTTTGTTTTGTTTTGTTTTTGTTTTGTTTAAAGGCAACTGGAATAAAAAAAAATAGTTCTTTTTGAAAGTAGGATGATATGTAGGCTGATGGTTTCTCAACTGGAACACTGTGAAAGAAGTGCAAAGACTTATGTCAGAGCAAGCTAGCTTTTAAGAAATTAGTATTCTAACTTTTGCTGGGCGGGTGGGGAATAGAAGAAGGGAGCAGGGAAAGAGAATAGCTAGTATCCCATTCAAACTAAAAAGCCATCGAAAGGCTGCCAAAGAATATGATTTTTTCATCTGTAATGTTAAAGAATAGTATAATATTGTAATGTATACTATTAGAACTAACACAGTTAAGTTTCTACAAAGGCAGACAACCCAATAATTATTTGGTTATCTCAATGTTTACAATGCCACCTGTGATATATAAAAAGATGACCAAACAAATTACTCCTTGTCACCATCAACATTTGAATTACAGATAATTTTTAAAATTATAAAACAGCAAAATAATCAACGGCCTACTGAATGTAGCCCTCCCAAAATGGATAATCTATAACCGATTCAGGGTTGGCTGAAACTTGGAACCTTTGGAAATGAGGAAATGCCCTAACTAGAAGTCATATATTTCTCTTTCTCTTCAATTATGAAGCAAATACAAATTCATTGTAGAACATTTTGAAAATAAAAGTTAAAAAATAAATCACTTAGAATCCTACCAACCTAAGATAACCACTATTAACATTGTATGTGCATTTTAAAATGAAAATTGAAATAATATTACACATCTGTCTAGCCTCTCTTGCTGAGGAAAGATTAGGTTCCATGTTAAATCTAAGTCTAATTTTGGTAGTCATAATAGTCATAATTTGTATTAGTCATCTCAGAACTTGGTAATAACATTTAACACTATTTTAATGCTGTTATTTTTTTATCTTGCTCTTACACATTCACCACATGGATTTTTTATGTCATTGTTTTTCAAAAACATGATTTTTTAAAAAATTTCTTTGATTAAGGTGTTACATGTGTGTCCGTATCCCCCCCCACTCATACTCTCAACTCCCTGTTGTCTGTGTACATTGGTAAAAACATGATTTAACATTTTCATAATATTGTATCATTTGAATATATATTTATTTAACCATTTCCTTATTGTAAGTCATTTACATATTTTCAAATTGTTTTCTTACATGCAATACTTCTATATGCATCTATGATTATATTATTAGGATATTTTCATAACTGTCCTAGATTGCATGGGGGGAAAAAGTAGGATCTTAAATTAGGCTTACCTTCCTCAAGAAATGGAGAACATATATTATAGTTTTCTCATGAGGCCCTTTGAGCAGAAGTTTAACTTTAAAAATTTATGCTCTGCTTCACACTGCAAAGCTTATTTAAGTAAGACCACAGGGTTATCTAGAAAATCTAATTTCTTGATATTTTGGAGCAGTTCTTGGGCTCATATGAGGAACCAGGAGATATAGAGATCTTTTGGCTATTTACAGGCTCTACCAGACAGAGCCCCTAGGAAAATAATCACAATCCCATTCCATGGGGTTAGTTCATACTTTTCCATTTGAATAACATTAGAATGGTGTAAAATAATATCACTAGGCTTACAGATAAGAAACGCAAGTTTTAACTACCAAAATTAGATTTAGATTTAATGTGGAGGCAAATAAATGTTTTATCAGGACAAGAGGCTGGACAGATGCATTCTTACCCACCCAACGACCATCTGGAGCCCAGCTACTACTTCATGCTAAACTTACCATGAGGAGCCGAAACCGGTTTGGCTTAGTGGATATAGCGTCGGCCTGCGAACTGAAAGGTCCCGGGTTCAATTCCGGTCAAGGGCATGTACCTTGGTTGTGGGTTGTGGGCACATCCCCAGTGGGGGGCGTGCAGGAAGCAGCTTATCAATGACTCTCTCTCTCATCAATGTTTCTAATTCTCTATTCCCCCTCTCTTCCTCTCTGTAAAGAATCAATAAAAAATATATTTTTAAAAAATAAAAAAAATAAACTTACCATGAGGAGTGGAGAACAGACTGAGTAGGATGATAACACTGGGTTGAACTCCATGTTCGATAAGCACCTTTACAGCTTCAATTACAGTATTTCCAGTGCCTAAAATAAATGACAACCAAATGAACTGTCAACTTTAACATTTTTTCTCAAAATGAATTTGATGCTTATTTAAAGTAAAGGCAGTTTAGTAATCTAACATAAGACATCACTAGGCAAAGTTTCATTATTTTTAATGATGGATATGAAACATACACTTTACAGTTTTCAAAGGCACAACAAGTCCAAAATTTATTCAGTATTTGAGATATCAAATATAACACCCATCCCAACCCCAGGAGACCATGCCATGATCTGAGTAAGCTTAGAAAACAAAATACAATGAGAAAAAAATTTACCTCCGAAGATGATAAATCCTTGAGAAAATCATTGCTATAACTCATTGGGCTAGAGAGGGGACATATTTCAATATATTTTCTGTGTTCTATATATTTTGCCTCATTAGATCCGTTGCTTCAATGTGTTCATTTTAAGAAAGAAGCTCTTTGGAACTAATAAAGTTTGACTAATGTATATTCTCTTATTACTCAATAAAAATTCTCCAGTGAACTGCCCAGGGCAACTCCAAATCTAAGTGAGAAAAAAACATTTAGAAACAGTTTTTGCCTTATAAATGGTACCCAGAAGGTAGGCACTAAATTGAATTTAAACTCTAACCAAAGGTTACTGATTTAACTCAAGCCACTCACTGAGAATTGGGTACATCAGAAGGACTTTTCTCCTATAAATGTCTGGAGGGAACTTGGCATAATATACTTTGGCTCTTTGTGTCTCCTCATCACTCTGAATCAGGATCTTTCCAATACGTATGGATCGACAGCAATCTCGTAAACCTTGTTCCATTGCCTCACCTTGAAGAAGATAATAAAAAAGGAAAGAAGAGGTTAGGGAAGATATAGTGAAAGTCCAAGAATAGGCCAAAGCAGAGTCTGTGACTGTTATTAACATAAAAAGGACATTGTCAAGACAGAAGAAATACTTCTTAAACTAACAGCTTTACTTCTGATATGTTTATATTTTATACTTAATGCAGGTCAATGAAACTAGAATAAGTTAGTTTTATTGCTGGTTTGAAAATTTTCTATGATTACAGGGGGGAAAAGTATCTTGTTAAGCTGCTCCCTGAGCTTTTCCAATATCAGGAACATTTTACTCTTATTACTTAAGGGAGCCTTAAAACCACCTAAACTTGTTACTTTCATCTAAAAAATATAAAAGGTTTATGGAAGAAAGAAGGCAACAGACCTAAGATCTCCTTTTAGATCAAGGTGGCATTAGGAGACATCATTCAGCAATGACTTTAGTGGCAAAGGTTTTGCTGACAATTAATGGAAAAAAAGTGCATTGTTCCCTCTCCCATGCCCTAGAGCAGTGTTTCCCAAGTGTGGTACGCATACCCCCAGTTTGCTGGGGCTATGCACTGTACCGTGCTTAGCTGCGCCTAATTCTACGTTCTCATGAGTACGAGGGGTACTCAGCGTTACGAAAATTATAGAAGGGGTACACATGTCAAAAGTTTGGGAAACACTGCCCTAGAGAACCACAATAAACAAACCAACCAACCAACTTGGAGCTATTCTGAGTCTGAATTCTTTTAAGGAAGTGTTTGCCAAAAGTCAATCACTGTCATACTACCTTCAAGATTTTAGGCTACAGCAGAATTCTACTTGTATTATTATTAACCTAATATTTTTCTTTAGGTTAATCATTTTGTTTGCATGTACTTTAAGAAGAAAGTTTATAATCACTGCTCTAAACATAGAAATAGTTTCTAACATATATGAAAATTGACCAGTAGCTCTTAAGGTTAAAAACAACTGTGTCTATGCATCACCCATGGTCATCTGGTATACACTAGGCATCCAAGGACCACGCTGCTGCCTTAAGGCAGGAGCTGGACTGAAACAGAAGAAATTGTAACTGAGAATTCCATATCCATTATCTTTACCATTATTAAAAGACTGAACAACATTATCCCAAATATCTTAATACAAGGAAGCTTAAACCTCCTACTTTAATTCAAGTATTCAGTTGTTCACAAATAGAAGGTTATAGCCAGAGGAAAAAAGGGCAAGTTTATATGTGGTGTTTTAAAAAAAAAAAATAATAATAATAGTCCACCTGTTTCCACTGCAAGCAAGTGGGGATTCCACTGTATCTTGTGGGGGGGGGAAATCAAATTGCTGAATAGAAATAATCATCCCCATGTAAGACATATAGGTTCCAATTACAGGCATGTGATTTCACTGCACAAAGGTTAGTTTATAAAGGTAATCAGCTGTAGTCAAACCACATACAACATTTATTAGATCAGCAAAAACTGTAAATACCTAGAGTTAATGACAGTTAGTCATTTTGCCTACATGGTCACATACTCATCTAATATAAAACTAAAATTACTAAACTGGTCATTCAGTCCAGCTCAAAAGAAATAAAAAACAGAAGAAAAAAAATTTCTCCAGCCAAGTATGCAAAGTTCTGTGGGTTTGAAACTGTACCATCATTCAAAAGTCTTCAAGCTGTTCTATTCTCTCCAACACAGCATTATCGCATCCTTCTATCCTCCCATCCTCCCCTGAATATTTGTTAAATCTTTATTGTTGAAAGTATTACAGATGCTTCACCTTCCCCCCTGCTTGCTCCCCACCACCTGGTCCCCACCCGACCCCGGGCCTTCAGCATCCTATTGTCTGTGTAAAAGGGCAATGCATATTTATATATATAAAAGGCCAAGTGACTGACCACTTGTCTAACTGTGTAACCGACCGGCGGGTACACATGATGCGCACTTTCAATTTAAAAATAAACATTGATTTGTGCATGCGCGATACATACAAGGCTCCCATCGATTTTTTTTTTAATTTCATTTTATTGTTTAAAGTATTACACATAATAGTACATACATCTCCTTTTATTCCCCATTGACCTTCCCCCAGCTTCCCCTATTCCCTGTCACATGCCCTCATCCCATTACCCCAGTGTCTTGTGTCCATTGGTTGTACTCATATGCATGCATACAAGTCCTTTGGTTGATCTCTTTTCCCACCTCTCCAACACTCCCCAGCCTTCCCGCTGTAATTTGACAGTCTGATCAATGCTTTACTGCCTCTGTATCTATCTTTTTGTTCACCAGATTATAATGTTCTTTATTTTCAATAAATGAGATCAGATTGTGTTTTTCTTTCATTGCCTGGCTTATTTCACTTAGCATAATGCTCTCCAGTTCCATCCATGCTACTGCAAATGGTAGGAATTCCTTGTTTTTATAGCAGCGTAGTATTCCATTGTGTAGAAGTACCATAGTTTTATAATCCACTTATCTGCTGATGGGCACTTAGGCTGTTTCCAAATCATAGCTATGGTGAATTGTGCTGCTAAGAACATAGGGGTGCATATATTCTTTGTGATTGGTGTTTCTAGTTTCTTGGGATATATTCCTAGAAGTGGGATTACTGGATCAAATTGGAGTTCCATTTTTACTTTCTTGAGGAAATGCCATACTGTTCACAGTGGCTGCACCAGTCTGCATTCCCACCAGCAGTGCACGAGGGTTTCTTTTTCTCCACATCCTTGCCAGCACTTGTCGTTTGTTGATTTGTTGATGATAGCCATTCTGACAGGTGAGATGGTAGTGCATTGTCATTTTGATTTGCATCTCTTGGATAATTAGTGACTTTGAGCATGTTTTCATGTGCCTCTTGGCCTTCCTTCTGTCTTCTTTAGAAAAGTTTCTATTTAGCTCAGTTGCCCATTATTTTTATTGGATCATTTATCTTCCTTTTATTAAGTTGTATGAGGTCCGTGTAAATGTTGAAGATTAAACCTTTATCAGTGATAATATTTGCAAATATTATCACTGATAAAGGTTTTTTTGTCGCTTTGTTGATGGTTCCTTTTGCTGTGCAAAAGCTTTTTATTTTAATGTAGTCCCATTTGTTTATTTTCTCTTTAGCTTCTATTGCTCTAGGAGCGGAATCCGTAAAGCAATTGCTTGGACATATGTCTGAGATTTCGCTGCCCGTGAATTCCTCTAGTATTTTTATGGTTTCCTGTCTCATATTTATGTCCTTTATCCATTTTGAGTTTATTTTTGTGTATGGTGTAAATTGGTGGTCTAGTTTCATTCTTTTGCATGTATCTGTCCAATTTTCCCAACACCATTTATTGAAGAGACTGTCTTGACACCATTGTATATTCATGCCTCCTTTGTCAAATATTAATTGAGCATAGTGGTTTGGGTCAATATCTGGGTTTTCTATTCCATTCTATTGGTCTATATGCCTCTTCTTGTGCCAATACCAGGCTGTTTTGAGAATAGTGGCTTTGTAATACAGCTTGAAATCTGGTATTGAGATCCCTCCTACTTTATTCTTCTTTCTCAGGATTGCTGTGGCTATTTGGGGTCTTTTTTTAAATTTTATTATTATTCCAGATGAATTTTTGGAGAGTTCTTTCTAGGTCTGTGAAACATGCCATTGGTATTTTAATAGGGAGTGCAGTGAATCTATAGATTGCTTTGGGTGGTACAGAAATTTTAACGATGTTGATTTTACCAATCCATGCACATGGTATGTTCTTCCATCTGTTTATATCTTCCTCTATCTCTTTTTTCAGTGTCCTGTAGTTTTTCACATATAGGTTTTTTTACCTCCTTAGTTAAGTTTATTCCTAGGTATTTTAATATTTTTGGTGTGGTGGCAAATGGGTTTGCTTTTTTAGCCTCTCTTACTTTATGTTCACTATTGGTGTATAGAAATGCCATAGATTTCTTGGCCTTAATTTTGTATCCTGCTAAATTGCCAAATTCATTCATTTTATTTTTTTAATATATTTTATTGATATTTTACAGAGAGGAAGAGAGAGGGATAGTTAGAAACATCGATGAAAGGATGTACCCGCAACCAAGGTACATGCCCTTGACCGGAATTGAACCCGGGACCTTTCAGTCCGCAGGCTGATGCTCTATCCACTGAGCCAAACCGGTCTCAGCAACCAAATTCATTTATTAAGTCTAATAGTTGTTTTTTTACAGAGTCTTTAGGGTTTTTTATGTACAATATCATGTCATCTGCGAATAAGGAGAGTTTCACTTCTTCTTTTCCAATTTGGATGCCTATTATTTCTTCTTGTCTGATTGCAATGGCTAATACTTCCAATACTAGGTGAAAGTGGGCATCCCTGGAGCCGAAGTTATGCAGTTGGGATGTCTGCAAGCAGTTATTCAAGCAGAGGAAATTCAGAATTTCTACTGTGGGGAAGCACACCCTTGTCTGTACAGAATCACACCCAGCAGGAGCTCCCAGGTGCTGCCTATGGAGTGGTGTGCCCTGGATGCCTGTGCAGCTGGAGATGCGCAAATGTGGGGTCCAGAGTTCTACCACTGGGGAGAGGGAAGATGCACTTACTGCTGTGGGAATGGTGCACCTTTGGAGGTGGAGGTCCCAGGATTTGCGGGTCTGTGGCTGGGGTAGCAGGATTTTGGCTTTAGTGGCTGCTGGGTCGCAAGCAGTGTGAAAGTCCTGACTGGATGGTGGTGCTCAGGAATTCCTAAAAAAGGCCTCTGTCCCCTTCAAGATGGCGTGGGCTCCGTGCCGGAGTCCTGCAGTCCAGGAGATGCCCCCACAGTGGTAGTCTCTCCTTATCTAAGAGAGCCTGGTCTGCCCACCCCTGCTGGTCCTGCGAGTTTTAACTGTCCCTTACTCACTCACACATGCAACACGCATCACACACTCTCCTCTCATACCCTCATTCACTCACTTCCTCTCCCTCACCTCTGTCCTGCCAGCCACCATCTTTTCAGTCCCAAATTAAAGTCCCATCGAATTTCTTAATAGTATTATTCCTTCAGGAATGCTGTGTCATAAATTAAAATTGAAAGTAGGTGCAATCATCATGCTACTGAATACTCTTAAGAATAAATAAGGTATGCCGAGACCGGTTTGGCTCAATGGATAGAGCGTCGGCTTGGGGACTGAAGGGTCCCGGGTTCGATTCCGGTCAAGGGCATGTACCTTGGTTGCGGGCACATCCCCAGTAGGGGGTGTGCAAGAGGCAGCTGATCGATGACTCTCTCTCATCGATGTTTCTAACTCTCTATTCATCTCCCTTCCTCTCTGTACAAAATCAATAAAATATATATTTTTTAAAAAGAATAAATGGGGTATTTGTAATGGTACTAGATTTATTATCAAGATTGCAACCTAACATAATCAAAGCTGAAGTATTAGCAGGATCTGCGGAAGGAGAGGTTGTTCTGATTCCAAGAATTTATTTATCCCCATCTGACACTAGCCTCCTATTTAAGTTAATTCAAAGACAGTTTCCTGTGATGCTAGCATTTGCAATGACTATTAATAAATCACAAGGACAAACTCTAGACAGAGTAGGAATATTTTTACCTGAACCTGTTTTTGGACATGGTCAGTTATATGCTGCTTTCTCTCGAGTTCGAAGAACATGAGATATTAAAGTTAAAGTTGTAAATACTTCATCACAAGGGAAATTAGTCAAGCACTCTGAAAGTGTTTTTACTCTTAATGTGGTATACAGGGAGATATTAGAATAGGTTTAATCAATTTTGTCATTGTTTTTATCAATGTTGTTTTTATATCATCTTTGTTGTTGTTATATCATGTTCTTATTGTTTCTTTATTAATCAATTTATATATTATTTTCATACTAGAGGCTCAGTACACAAGATTCATGCACTGGAAAAGGGGGTCCCTCAGCCTGCCCTGTGCCCTCTCTCAGCCCGGGACCCTTGCTCCTTACCACCCACCTATAGAAGAGGTGAGAGAGACTCCCACCACTGCTGTTGCACTGGCCAGCCATGAGCCCAGCTTCTGGATTAGCAGTGTTCCTCCTGCGGGAGTATGCTGACAACCAGGAGACAGCTCCTGCACTGAGATGTGCCCCCCACGTGGTCAGTGCGCATCACAGTGACCAGTCATTCTGCCATTTGGTCAATTTGCATATTAGCCTTTTATTATATAGGATACATTTTACTAATTTTCTTTCATCTTTAATACTTCTATTATACAGAAAGGGTGAATAGTGATATTAAAATATGTCTTCTAATTTTCTTTCAATGTGCATGAATCTGTGCACTGGGCCACTTGTAATGCATATAAGTTCTTAGGCTAATTTCTTCTCTTCCCCTTTTCCCCTTCCCTCTGAGATTTGTCACTCTTGTGTCATGTATTCATGCCTCTGATTCTATTTTATTCATCAGTTTAATGTGCTCATTAGATTCCACATATAAGTGAGATCATGCGATATTTTGTCTTTTTCTGACAGGCTTATTTTGCTTAGCATAATCATCTCTGGGTCATTTCATGCTATCTCAAAGGATAAGAGATGCTTCCTTTTAACAACTATATAGTATTCCATTGTATATTTTACTACAGGTGTGTGTCTATATGTGTGGTTTTTTTTTTTAAATTTACTGTATTCTTGAGAGTATTACAGATATCCCTCATTTCTCCACTGTGTCCCCCTCCACTCATCTCCCACCCCATTCCAGGCCTTCACCTATCTATTGTCTGTGTCCATGGGCTATGCATATATACATGTAAATTATTTGGTTAATCTCTTCCCACCCTGCCTTCCCCCTTACCTCTGAGATTCATCACAGTCTGTTCCATGTATTCATGCGTCTGGCTCTATTTTATTCATCACTTTATTATATTCATTAGATTCCATATATGATTGAGATCATGTAATACTTGTCCTTCTCTGACTGGCTTATTTTGCTTAGCATAATACTCTCCAGGTCCTTCCATGCTGTCTCAAAGAGTAAGAGATCTTTTTTTTTTTTTTTTTTTTTTTTTTTTTCTGCTGTGGTATATTTATACCATTGTATTCCATGGTGTAAATGCACCACAGTTTTTTATCCACTCATCTACTGATGAGCACTTGGGCTCTTTCCAGATCTTAGATATTACATATAAATAGTGCTGCTATGAACATAGGCATGCATATAAAATTTCTGATTGGTGTTTTGGAACTCTTAGGATATATTCCTGGAAATGAGATCACTGGGTCAAATAGCAGTTCAATTTTTAATTTTTGGAGGAAAATCCATATTGTTTTCTATAGTGGCTGCTGCACCAGTCTACATACCTACCAGCTGGCTTGCCCTTGGGGCAGGCCACTATGGAAGATGCTCTGCAGTTAAAATTAGCCAAACTCAGCAATACACAGGCCATGATTACAATGCACCATGAGGATAAAAAACACAGACACTGCGATTTAAGCTAAAGCATGCTTCAATTATGACAGAAAATCTCACTTCTCTCCTGGGAAACTGCAAGTGTTTGTATGCATGCAAATGGACAATATCACACATATGTGAACCTACCGCTTCTCATTATGCTGACGCCACAATTTCCCTTCTCAAATTTCACTCCTTCATACTTGTATCCTGTTGAAAATAAATCCAAAGAATGTATCTTTCATCATTGGAACAACCTACTTATTCTATAACGTCCCTATGATGTAAAGCAGATGGGTACTGAGCAACCCTTGTCCAGGCACACTATATAATGTCTTAGGTTCCCTGTGAAAGTAATGAGAAGATTCAAAAGTTTTTTTAGTTATTTAATTCTTCATGAGAAACCTGTGTGGAAAATTGGGGGAGGTGGACTTCGCCAAGTGGGAATAGGACATATGATATAGCATGATATTCACAAAAATATTCCTCAAATTGAATTCGAGAATCACTGCACTCCAAGAATGTTATAAACATCATCAATTCAACCAGCACCCACTGTGAGCCACACCAGAGAGCCTACTCATTCTGTCCCTTTTATGAGCCTCCATTCTGCCTTTAAAAGCAAAAGAAAGAGACTGAAATCATTACCAAGACATGTTCAACTCTTGGTCTCATCCTAAATCTGTTTCAATTATGCAGCAAGCTCATCTCCCAAATTAGTGTCAAACTTTGAATAGAACAGCTTCCATTACTTACTAAAAAAAAACAAATCAGAATTTTAAATCCCTGAAACAAGGATCTTTGGCTGCTTTCTATTTTAGTAGCACAAAGCACCTTCTCTAATTCTCATCATTTTTTGTTTTCTTTTTCTTTTTTACTTCTCATCCTTTTATTTGGAGTTTCAATGCCAAACCAGTACATCCATTTGCTTCCCCAAAGAGATGAAGATAAACTGCCAGCAATTCTTAACTTTGATCCCAATGAGCTGTCATCAAAGGTATCACCTGCATGCTGAAGAATATTTATTAACCTTTAACTTGAATTGACAAACAAGGCAGTAACAAAAAATCAGCCACATAAATTTCTTCAATAAATGTCTCTAGGTTTATTAAGTTGTTTAAAAAAATAGCTCCACTTGGACTCCACATTCTGCATACTAATTTATGCAGGCTGTTTTCTTTCCATTTCCCCCCCAATTCTAACTCAGAATTTTTATGAGAAAATATTACAGTAACAGCTGTGATTACCCGTTGGAGTGGTCACTGTGCATTCTTTATAAGGCAGCTGATTCAATCCCTCTTCCACAACAAGTCTGATCTAGAAAGTAAAAGAAAGAATAAGTTGAAAATCTGCTAACAATTTCCTGTTACCTGTTAGCATCCAGAACTGAACACTAGGCAAAATTCAGTAACACAGTAGGCAAGGAATTAGCTTACGGAGGAAGAAAGGGGTCCCCCATTGTATCTGATATAGAGATAGATCCAAATGCCAGGCTGCTTGTTAGTCAGTATTCAACCCTGGTTAGGCACCTGATTGCCCAAAAGTAAAAAGGCTCAAGTATGCCTTATGATTCTCATTCAGTCAGTTCAAGCTATTTTAAAAGAGATGCAAAATTACAGAAGTGAGAAGAGTTATGGCAGACAGCCTTGGAAGTAATAAACTCGTTACTCTGGAAATAGTGCCAAGAGAGAACGTGTTTGCCTTGTTCAGTATTCTGAAATTGTTCAATTAGATTGTTTTTTAACTAGGCCCACCAGAACCCAAAGAAATCCTGAAATTTCTTAAGAAATAAATGAGTGGATAGGGTTAAACTGTGCCAGGCCAGCACAGCCAAGGGTTCGGTGATCCTGGCGGGGGGGGGGGGGGGGGGAACCTGCCTGGCTGAGGCCACAGAGAGAGATCCAGCCAGCAAGCTGAGGCTTTATTTTATAGTTAGGGGAAAAAACAAGGTAGTGGCCAACATAAGTTACAATGTTCTTGTGAGTTTCACTCGTTTTGGCAGCACTTGCTGCACCTCCCACAGCCCATTAGCTACCCAGGAAGGATCTAGGGAGTGTCATCAAGTCAAGCTTAATTATGCTAAGAGGGCTGTGCCCTCTAAGCTGGGACTTGTTTGTGGCTTTGCCAACAGGTCAGTCCAAGGCTTAACCCTATAGCTGCTCCCTACATTAAGCCAGTGAGTGGTAGGAAGCGGTTGGATGCATCGGGGCTTGTCAGCTAAACAATAAAGGCTCCTAGTGATCTTAATGTGTGGAATACAGGAAAGAATCCATCAGAACTATAAGAAACAGATATGATATTTCTTCCTATAACAAACACCTGGAGTCTACTACCACATTTTCTACAATCAATATTACACTATTGGTTAAGAATCAGGAACAGCTAGTAGAAATGCAGGCCCATGCTGTGCTGTCACAACACAACACCTTATTGTTGCCAATAAAAGTATCAATGCTAAATGGCCAGCACTTTGTCAGTCTGCAGCACCACACAGAATGTCCAGGAACCTCATAAATACTGTGTGTGTGCTCACTCACTTCTAACCATCAACTTCTGTGGAGGTTAATGTTTCTTATGAGCAAACTAGTGGCCCAGTGCACAAATTCGTGCACATTGAAAGAAAATTAATTACAGGAAATATGTTAATATCGCTATTCACCATTTATAATAGAAGTATAAGCCAAACTCATGATCAACAATGACAGATGGAAACACATGTGTTCAATAGGCACCAGTGAGAGCTTTATATGTATCTCACATGTGTGAGTCAACTTAGCCATATATGTATATATATATATTAGAGGCTCAGTGCATGAAATTTGTGAACTGGAGCGGGGGGGAGGGGGGGGTCCCTCAGCCTAGCCTGCACCATCTCCAATCCAAGACCCCTCAAGGGATGTCCTGGGGATTGGACATAAACCAGCAGTCTGACATCCCTCTCACATTCTGGGACCACTGGCTTCTAACTGCTCACCTGTCTGCCTGCCTGATTGCCCCTAACTTCGCCCTCTGCTGGCCTGATCACCCACAACTGCACCCACAGCCGGTCTAGTCACTCCAAACTGGCACCCCCACTGGCCTGGTCACCCCTTACTGCCCCCCCCCCCAGCCCCGCTGGCCTGGTTGCCCCCAACTGCTTCTCCTGCCAGCCTGGTCACCCCTAACTGCCCCCTCTGCTGGCCTGGTCGCCCCTTACTGACCGCCCCCCCCACCAGCCTGGTTGACCCCAACTGGCCCCTCTGCAGTCCTTGTAGCCCCCTCACTGCCCCCCTTCCACACTGGTTGTCTCCACTGTCCCCCCTGCTGCCTGGTCATCCCACACAGCCTGCTGTTCGGTCGTTTGGTCACACCTCACTAACCTCTCCCCCCCCCCCCACCCGTTTGCCTGGTTGCCCCTGCTGCTCGGTCGCTCAGTAACCCTTCAATAAACCTCCTGCCAACCTGGTCATCCCACACAGCCTGCTGTTCATTCATTTGGTCACCACTCACAGCCCCCACTGCTGGCCTGGTTGCCCCACACAGCCTGCTGTTCCGTTGTGTGAGGGCATCCTAACAAATTTGCATATTATCCTTTAATTAGTATAGAGGCCCAGTGCATGAAATTATGCACAGGTGGGGTCTGGGGGGCCCACTCCAATGGGGGCCCATCGGGCAGACCCGGCCATAGGGTCTAATGCTGGAAGCTTTAGCTTCCCTCCAGCTGAATCTAATTATACTTTAAGTATGGCCAAAAGAAACCCATAACAAAACTGTTTTGCATTTCACATGCCATTAGATGAAGTTGTATATGTGTTATTTGCAAACATATATCAAGATGGATGATGGCCCTTGAATGATTTTTGCATTCTTCCCGGGGCTCTGCCCTCAGTTTCCCGATATGATCTTCATGTCTGTTTGTTTAAAAGTTTTCCTGTTTTTGAATGTGCCTACACTTCACTATTGCTCCTGGAAGCCTGAGGGTCCTCTACGTTGCCCCTTTTAAAAAGAGATTGAAAGCTCACCTAATCTGCAAGGCACCACACTTTCATAAAATCCCCACCCAGCTTCTCTATATTCCTCAGCAAAGAGCAGCCATCCCGTTAATGCTTTGGTCGAATTTTTTGATAACTTGGAAGATCTTCTGGAGAAGCAGGCCATAGAGGGAGAATTCCAACCTGGGCTACAGTATGAGAAGAGCCCTCTAAAGGCTCTGGTTTGGAACAGAAGGGACTGATAATTATTTCCTTGTACTTTCACTAAATGTACATGCACCAGGGAGCCAGACAGTCATTTAGGGGTGTTGGGGTCGGGACCAGGTGGGGCGAAGGGCTGCGGTTGGCTTGCCAGCCAGCCTCACCCCTGATCAGGGTGGAGGGGCCCACTGTGGGGTGGGGCCGGCTGGTCATTCTGCAGTTCAGTTGCTGGGCTTTTACTACATAGGACCAGCCTGCACCGTCTCCAATTGGGGGCACCTTGGGGGATGTCCAAATGCCAGTTTAAGAAATCTGGGACTGCTGGCTCCTAACTGCTCACCTACCTGCCTGCCTGGTCACCCCTAACTGCCTCTGCCTTCCAGCCTGATCACCCCTAACTGCCCTCCCCTGCTGGCCTACTTGCCCCTAACTTCCCTCCCCTGCCAGCGTGGTTACCACCAACTGCCCTCCCCTCCCAGTCTGGTTGCCCCCAACTGCCCTCACTTGCTGTCCTGATCTCACCTCCAACTGCCCTCCCCTACCAGCCTGATCTTGCCCCCAACTGCCCACCCCTGCTGGCATGATCTCACCCCAATGTTCCTCCCATGCCAGCCTAATCTCATCACCAATTACCCTCCTCTCCCAGCCTGGTTGCCCTCAATTATCCTATCCTGAAGCCCTGATCTCACCCCCAACTTCCCTCCTCTGCTGGCCAATTTGGTTCTGATTGATCGGTTTCTATGACAATCAGCATCAAAAGCTCTGCCTCCTAGGCAGCCATTGGTTCATCACAGCGTCCACATTTGGTTCTGATTGGTCGGTTCCTATGCCACTCAGCTTCTCGGGGCCTATCCACCTGGCCTGATCAAAAGGTGGGGCTGATCAGAAGAGAAATGGAGGCATGTCTGCTGGCCAAATTGGGAGAAAAAGAGAGAAGCAAACACTGATCAAAAGCTGCCACAGAGGTAATGGATCAGTCCCTGCTTCTCTCTTCAGGCCTCTCTCTGGCCCTGATTCGCAGCCCCATCAGCAATCAGTGCTGGGGCACCACGCCTGCAGCGGAAGCAGTCTGTGCTAACTGCAGGACTGATTTCTGGTTGGACGAGCCTTCGTCATTACTGGTCATTACCACCCCGAGTTTTTATATATTATGATAGAATAAACTTGCTTAAGTAGACCTGTGTTCTGACATAACTAAACTTTTCCCAGCCCATGAAGCACCCCAACTTCTCTTTCAGGTAATTGTAAACAACACAGCAGTAAATATCAACACGAAACACATTACTATTGTAGATCATGCAGGGAGGAAAAAGGGTCAAATATTTAACTGCAGCAGTGTTTGAATATATTCTGCACAGAGAGAAAAACTGAAATCATTTTCAAGGTATACCATTTCTTACTTCTTTTTAAATGTTATTTTATTGTTTAATGTATTACAAATAGTAGTACATATGTCTTTTTTATCCCCCATTGACTTAGCCCTGGCCTCCACAACCCCCAGCACATGCCCTCATACCACTACCACCACCACCACCCGTGTCTTGCGTCCATTGGTTATGCTTATATGCATGCATACAAGTCCTTCGATTGCTTATGGGGTCAAATGGAAGTTCCATTTTTAACTGTTTCAGGAAACTCCATACTGTTCTCCACAGTGGCTGCACCAGTCTGCATTCCTACCAGCAGCGCATGAGGGTTCCTTTTTCTCCACACCCTCTCCAGCACTTGTCCTTTGTTAATTTGATGATAATCATTCTGACAGGTGTGAGATGGTACCTCACTGTTGTTTTGATTTGCATCTCTTGGATAATTAGTGACTTTGAGTATGTTTTCATATTTCTCCTAGTATGTGATTTATAATAACCACAAACTTAACTCCTATTTTCTGTAGAAAAAGGATATAAGGAAATAAGAAAGAAAAAAGGGGAAAAAGGAAGGAAGGAAGGAAGGAAGGGAGGGAAGTAGAGAAGGAAAGAGGGAAGGAAGGAAGAAGGAAAGAAGGAAGGGAGGGAGGGAGGGAAAGAGAAAGCATTTTCTACCAATGAATACCAGGACCTTCGATTTCCCCACAGCAGCCACGGGCACATGTTGCTTTCTCCTTGGACCTGTTCCTTTAGTTTGATAAAAGCATAATGACATAATGACCTGTCACTTCAGGAATGTCAATTACATTTATCTTGATGAAATTTAAGGGTTGTTACTGCCCTTACAAACTCAAATAATTGTAAACAGAAGTTGCCTCTGAACTAAGAATCTTTAAAGCCAAAAGTAAATAGTTGTCTACATTCTTTTGAAATAAAGATTTTCCTAGGAAAAATGTAAATGAAAATTAATAAACTACTTTTATCTCTTTCCCAAATGAAATACTGACAATAATATTTAGATTGCAAACTCTATGAGAGCAGGGACCATGTGTCTGTGTTCTTTACTGCTGAGAGATTCCAGGATGGTGAAGAATTAAGTGGAAGCTACACTGACCTTCTCCCAGGACCAAACTGGAATTACAACTAAAATATTGCCGGCACCGGTTTGGCTCAGTGGATAGAGCGTCGGCCTGCGGACTGAAAGGTCCCGGGTTCGATTCCGGTCAAGGGCATGTGCCTTGATTGCGGGCACATCCCCGGTGGGGGGTGTGCAAGAGGCAGCTGATCGATGATTCTCTCTCATCGATGTTTCTAACTCTCTATCCCTCACTCTTCCTCTCTGTGAAAAATCAATAAAATGTATTTAATAATATATATATATATATATATATATATATATATATATATATAAATATAAATATAAATATATATAAAAATCATCCTGAATAACCAACTGAAGTCTAGCTGGAGAGAAGCCTTGTATTCTTTACTACTGAATCTCCTCCCCCAGCAACACAGCCTCGCACAGTGCCTGACTTACAGGAGTTCAATATATATTTCAGGAATGGTTGAATATTAATAACAAAATGTGTCAACTTCATTGTAATCACTGAGAAACACAAGAAGGAAACACAGTATTTACCCTGAAGACAACACAATCTGGTTTGAGATCCTCTCACATCACACTAGCTAAACAGAATTGAGCTTGGTCATCCCTTAACAGAAAGTCCCTGAGGAAATCGTAGATAGTCCAACTTAATATTTCATATGTGAGGATAGTACAGAAAAAAAGAGGCTAAATAAATTCCTCCCATGTAAACTAAAACAGTTATTAATTTTTTTGCATTAGATGGATATCACAGGGTAACTAGCTACTAGGTCTCCTTACATCTTTGGTTTTCTTTTAATGTACTTCACTTTACTGCCCTAAGATGAGGCATTTAAGGGTTACTTATGAGAAAGTTACCAAGATCAATTTTAAAGGTAGGAGTACCTGAGAGCTATAGAAAATGATTTTTTAAAATATATTTTATTGATTTTTTTTTACAGAGAGGGAGGGAGAGGGATAGGGAGCTAGAAACATCGATCAGCTGCCTCCTGCACACCCACAACCAGAGATGTGCCCACAACTGAGGTACATGCCCTTGACCGGAATCAAACCCGGAACCCTTCAGTCCACAGGCCGACGCTCTATCCACTGAGCCAAACTGGTTTTGGTAAAAATGATTTTTATGGAAAATGCCTTGAGGTGAAAGGTATTGAGACATAGTTTTAATACAACAGTAAAAACAACACTTCAGAAGTCTAGCAAGATGATGGTTAATTGGTACAATCTCTTTCACCCCCAGATTGCTATAATTAGAAAAAGAAACAAAAACCTTTGGCCTACTATGGTTATATCACTAGGAACAATGAAATGAAAATAGAAAATTTCCACCTACCAAACGATCCGCAGAAAACATGAAGTCCCCTCTACTCGCTGTCCTAAAAAAAAAAAAAAAAATAGTGAAAGTTTTAGTCTAGATTAGAGCTTTAAAGTAAAATATTACTCATCACATATAATAACACTGATATTATGACCTATCCTATATAATAAAAGGCCAGCAACCATAACGGCCTAACAACAAGAACGACAGATCAACTAGTTGCTAAGAGATGAATTGACCACTTCTCGGTCCCTCCCCCCAGCCCATCGATCAGCTGCCTCCTGCACACCCTGATTGATGTATGGCCAATGGGGAACCATGGGGAACTACTGTGGGTGGTGGCAGGGTGGGACTGGTGAGCGGGCAGAAGGCAGACCTTTTAGTCCCTTCCCCCAACCCGCAGGCTCTGATCTGTGGATGGCAAACAGAACCACAGGGAACTGGGGTCTGGTGAGAGGGCAGAAGATGGCCCTGATCGCAGGCTAGGTATAGGGACCCTGGCCTTTTATTTGGGCCTTTAGTTACATAATAGAAGCTTAAAAGTTTACATGTACAGACATTATTAAGGCAAGTTATTTTTTCACTAGGATACAGGAGCTTAAATGGAGTGATTTTATAAGTATAATTAAGAATACTTTATTTGATATCAACATTAGAGTTAGGAATTGGAAAGATTATGTAGTTGCCCACTGAGCTGCTCAAATATGTTATTCAGATGAACAAGATGGAAGCAAACCCACACAAGAGAAAACCTTTGTAGTTACGAAAATCAGGTTCTCACCTTCCATCTACCTTGCCATATTATCAAGATAAAGAACCTATCTACTTTATCTCTAATCCTTTTTGGAATGAGAATGGTACAAACAAATAAACCCTATACAATTGCCATTGCTTTCAAGAATGCATAACCGGCCGAAACCGGTTTGGCTCAGTGGTAGAGCTTCGGTCTGCGGACTGAAAGGTCCCAGGTTCGATTCCGGTCAAGGGCATGTACCTTGGTTGCGGGCACATCCCCGGTAGGGGGTGTGCAGGAGGCAGCTGGTTGATGTTTCTCATCGATGTTTCTAACTCTCCCTCTCCCTTCCTCTCTGTAAAAAATCAATAAAATATATTTAAAAAAAAAGAATGCATAACCGAATTTCTAAGATATCTTTTTTTTTAAATATATTTTATTGATTTTGTACAGAGAGGAAGGGAGAGAGATAGAGAGTTAGAAACATCGATGAGAGAGAGTCATCGATCAGTTGCCTCTTGCACACCCCCTACTGGGGATATGCCCGCAACCAAGGTACATGCCCTTGACCGGAATCGAACCCGGGACCTTTCAGTCCCCAAGCCGACGCTTTATCCATTGAGCCAAACCGGTTTCGGCTCTAAGATATCTTTCTCAAATTATTGACAATTTGTTCTTTTTGCCTATTTTCAATCAAATAATTTGTTCCCTAGACTTTCTGACATTTTCCTGTCCATTTTTTTTTTTCTGGTCAATCCTTGCATACCCTGAGGTATCCAAGTAATAATAATCCCAAACTGCACCTACCCACAAGCTGTTAACCAGTCAAAAAATAAAATGTTAAAAGGCTGGCAATTTTTTCCTGTACATAAAAACTGAGTATTATTCCTCCTTCTCCCATACAAGTTAAATGACTCAACTGAACAGACTGAGATGCAGTTTATGTATTTAAAAATCTCGGTCTGCCTATACATAGCATACCTAAAACATTCCCTAACACAGCATCAAAAAGACATATGCAAACATATATTATCTCAGTATACCATTAATTATGACTTTTTTCAAATGCATATGCACATTAATGGTATACTAAGATAAAATGTTTACATAAGCAATTTTTTTCCTTGTATTCACTTTCTCTGACATGAAAAATTAATGAAATATTCCTGATACAAATGGCATTGGGTTTATTAGAATAGAGCTCTATCACCTTATGGGTATTAATGAAACAGGAAATCAAAACAGATTAGATATATTAGAATATAGCTTTTAGGACAACCAAGATGGCAACATAAGGTATACATCTGTACGTGCTCCCTCTCACAGCCACACCAAAACTACAACTAAAAGACAAAACGACTATCACCCAGACCCACAAGAAAGCTGGTGGAGTAGAAGTTCTACAACTAGAAGGAAAGAAAGAAGCTCACTGAGACTATATAGGAGGTGCTGAGGCTCGGAAAAGCAGACGTATGGAGGTGCGCACGAATCGGGCTGGTGACTGGGTGCACTGTTTTTTTGTTTTGTTTTTTCAATTGGAAGGGAGACACAAGCTCCCAACTGCTCTGGAACTCCAGTTTCTGGTGAGACTCTGGGGAACCAGACTCCTAAGGGGAGAAACTGGACTGTCTAGCACTGGGCCAAAAAGTGAGGGTGGATTTCTCACAGAGGTGCATGTAAGAATCATTGTTTACTGCCATGGGATGTGGGATGCAGACGTGGAACCTCAGAGATGAAGAGATGGCTGACTGGCAGCCATCGCTGTTTGCCACGCCCTAGTGTTTCCCTACCCCACCCAAGTCACAAACCCTTCCAAACTGTGCGGAGCAGCTTTTGAATACAAATGGCCTGCCCTTTCGCAGCTTAACCTAACAAATTGCACCTGGATCAGACAGCACCAAAATTTCCAAACCCCAAGCAAAGAGGAGAAATCTGCAGATTTTGCTGTAGCTCCTGCTGGGTGGCCTCAGACAGTAGCTGACTTGCAACTCCTTGGAGATCCAGGAGCCAGTGTACCTAAAGGTCACTGTGAGAGGACACCAGATTTCAACTCCTCACATACATAAGTGACACACTCAAGAGGCAGGCTCAGTGAGCACCAAAGCCCCACCCCACGTCCTGAAGCAAGTCCTATCCCATTAGGGTGTCTCCAGCACAGCAGTTCTTCCATTATACACACAGCTAATCCTCACAGCCAATTGGCCTGGAGATCAATTCCTACCAGCGTACCAACAGCGATCAAGGCTTAACTACAACAAGACTGTGCACCCAGCCCACAAAGGGGTGCACCAAGAGTGTCCACCTCAGGTGATTGGGGAGGCTGAGACACTGGGCCCTACTGCTCACCTACCAACAAAGCCACTCCATCAACACAGGGAAGCAGCCAAATTGCAGAGATAAAGAAACAGGTCACAAATGAAATAATTGGAGGATAGAAAACTACTGGATATAGAGTCCAAAACCACAGTTATAAGGGTACTCAAGAATCTTCTAGAAACCGCCGAGAAACTTAGCTAAGGAACCTAGTGAGACCTTCAAGGACCTTAATGAGAATGCCAAAAAATGGAAAATGACCAGTCAGAAATTAAGCATACACTGTCTGAAATAAAGAATAATATACAGAGATCCAACAGTAGACTAGAGGACCCCAAGAATCAAACCAAAGATCTGAATATGAGGAAGCAAAAAATACCCATCAAGAAAAACAAAAACAAAAAGAATCCAAAAATATGAAGACAGTGTAAGGAGCCTCTGGTACAACTTCAAGCGTACTAACATCCAAAGTTCCTCTTACCACAGGTACGCTACACAAACAGGTACACTACACAAATTAAAGGGGATGAAGCAGGTCTTTTTAATGTTGGGGGGGTGCCAAATTTGAAGATAAAAGCAAAAGAGGTCTCTATTAACAGATTTAACAAAAACAAAACTAAAACACTGTCTGCAGCCTAAGCAACTAAGCATCAATTAATTATAAAAAATCATAGTGTGTTTTTCCTTACTATATCATAGCATGATAAAAATTATCTAGAATCTCTCAGTGTGTTTTTTAAATAAAAATGTGAGTTGTATGTACAATTTAATTTATTTTACTATCTCCTGGAAGCTCAAGAAACCAGCACTTATGGATGCAATCAGAACCATGCACAAATCCAAATGTGAAATCTTGAAATGCCTTAAATGTGCACAGCTCTTCACTGTTTATAACAAATATTCAGATAGTAAAATATCCTTTAGCCTTCCAGGAACCCCATGAAACACTGCCAACATCCTCATTTTACAAATGATAAAGTTGAAGCACAGAGATGCTAAACATCTTGCCTAAGATCACTATGGATACTGATGTCCCCTTCCAAACTCGGGGAAAAAAATGTTTCCCTTACACCTAGGCTTACTATACTACCCGGGCTTTTCTAAGTAATGCAATAAAATCAGGTACTGATATTGTCATATATGAATGCTGAATGTCATGCCCTCTCCAAGTTCTACGGCAATGCTTTACTCTTACATTCTCATGTAAAAATCTAATGCAATCTAAGGAACCCTTTCACATAAAAAAAAGACACAAGTGCAAAAGTTCATAGCAGGGTTATTCATGAAAACCAAAGCGTGGAAACCAGCCAAATGTCCATCACTTAATGAATGGATTAAAAAATTGTTATAGCCGAAACTGGTTCGGCTCAGTGGATAGAGGGTCGGCCTGCAGACTGAAAGGTCCCAGGTTCGATTCCGGTCAAGGGCATGTACCTTGGTTGTGGGCACATCCCCAGTAGAGGGTGTGCAGGAGACAGCTGATTGATGTTTCTCTCGCATCGATGTTTCTAACTATCTCTCCCTTCCTCTCTGTAAAAAATCAATATATTTTTAAAAATTGTTACCGTATTTTTCGGACCATAAGACGCACTTTTTTTCCCCCAGAAGTGGGGGGAAAAAGTCCCTGCGTCTTATGGTCCAAAAATAGCCTACACATATACTTAAAAAAAAAAGTTTTTTTACTTGCCCGGCTCTGTGTGGTCTCTGTGTGCTTGCCCGGCTCTAAAATGGTTCTAAATGCTGCTGTTTACTTTACAGGGTTGATTACATGTGTTTATGACTGTGATGTTGGGTTTTAATGCACATAAAATATTTTAGGACACTATTTGTTTCAGAATCTTTTTTTCTTCATTTCCCTTCTCTAAAAACTGGTGCGTCTTATGGTCCGGTGAGTCTTATGGTCCAAAAAATACGGTATATATCCATAACATGGAATATCATTCAGCCAAAAAAAGGAATGGGATACTGACACAGCATGAATAATCCTTGAAAACATTATGCTAAATAGGAAAAAAAAACGAGTCATAAAACATCACATGTTGTATGATTCCACTTGTATGAAATGTCCAGAATAGGCAAATCAATAGTCATAAAGTAGTCTAGAGCTTCCGGTGGATTGGGAAGAAATGGGTGCTGAATGCTCATGAGTATGAGGTTTCTTGTCGGAGTGATGAAAATGTTCTAAAATTGATTGTGTGATGGCTGCACAGCCATGAATATTCTAGAAAGTCACTGAATTGTACACTTTAAACAGTGTATGATATGGAATGTGAATTATATATCGATAAATATTTTATTTTTAAAAATGCACATACAAGCCGGGACCGGTTTGGCTCAATGGATAGAGCATTGGCTTGGGGACTGAAGGGTCCCGGGTTCGATTCCGGTCAAGGGCATGTACCTTGGTTGCGGGCATATCCCCGGTAGGGGGTGTGCAAGAGGCAGCTGATCGATGACTCTCTCTCATCGATGTTTCTAACTCTCTATCTCTCTCCCTTCCTCTCTGTATAAAATCAATAAAATATATTTTTTTTTAAAATGCACATACAAGTAATATTTCCCAGATAATTTTGGAAGGTTTACTAAAGCCCCTAAGCCCATCCAGAGATGCAGAGGGAGTCAAAACTCAAGGCCAGCAACACTTGCTCTGTAGAAACAAGAATCATCATCCTATTTTCTTTGTTTTACAGTTAATTTTATTTCAGTTTGCCCCACCACAACTACCAAGTTTATGTGTCCTAGATTTTAAATCTATTAAATCACATGATCACAGGTTTTAAATATGGATTCATTAAAAACAAATAGTATAGTTTTATAACTACAATTTTTAAGAGCTTTATAAAGAACCTTTAGTAATCAAGTATCTATTATTTACAAGGCATAGTTGGAGTCCAAATATGTAAAAGATACATTTTTTTGGTCCTCGAGGAGCTTAAAATCTAAAAGGTGAGATAAGATCAATACACAAATAACAATATACAAAATAGTAAGTGAATTTAAAAGGTCAGGGAAAACAGCAGAGGAAGAATGATTAAAGGAAAGCTTCTTGGCAGAGGTGGACATTTAATGCTGGATTTGACCCTGAAGAACAGATAGAATTTGAACATGCAGAGGAGTAGAAAGAATTTCAGATGAAGGTAGAAGCCTACCTATATGGTAGGCCCTCAGAAACCAAAGAGAATTGCTGAGTTGGGCAGTTATCTAATCAAAGTGTAATATTAATAAGGTTGATTGCTCCGTAATGTGTGGATGCATGTGGAAAAGAGAAAAACTGGATCAGGGAAACAAATTAGAAGCCTATTTCAATAGTATTAAGAAAAGGTTACTAGTTTGATTTAGGGAATGATGTCCTAACTCAGTAGTCATTTATTTTTTATTTTATATATATATATATTATTTATTTTTTACAGAGTGGAAGGTAGGGAGAAGGATAGAGAGCTAGAAACATCAATGAGAGAGGAACATCGACTGGCTGCCTCCTGCACACCCCCTATTGGGGATGTGCCCACAACCAATGTACATGCCCTTGACCGGAATCGAACCCAGGACCTCTCAGTCCGCAGGCCGATGCTCTATCCACTGAGCCAAACCGGTTTCGGCTCAGTAGTCATTTTAAAAGATCAAAGCATCCACCAAAAAATTAATTTTCAGACATGCAGTACATACTCGTCTAAAGTTCTGCCAATATAGAAGTCAGCTATAGTTCCATCATGGTGCATATGACCCTTGAGAAACCCCATCTACAACATAAGTTTTGAGATTTCAAAGTAGCATTTAAAAAATATATATTTTATTGATATTTTACAGAGAGGAAGGGAGAGACATAGAGAGCCAGAAACGTCGATGAGAGAGAAACATCAACCAGTTGCCTCTTGCACACCCCCTACCGGGGATGTGCCCACAACCAAGGTACATGCCCTTGACCGGAATCGAACCCGGGACCTCTCAGTCCGCAGACTGCTGCTCTATCCACTGAGCCAAACCGGTTTCGGCTCAAAGTAGCATTTAACATGAAGTTTTTACTACCTTAGCTTGTGAGATTAGGAAGAGCACCAAAGGCTCCTTTCCTCCATTAATTGTACAGGAAACAGTTGATATTCTAGAAGTTTACAGTAAAACAATCCTGATAAGAGTTGGATTACAAGTTTGCACATGACCAAGTAAACCTTAACCCCAAGACTAAAAGACAGAATGGCATCTGTAATAGCAAATCCCAAAGGGACAGATGGCCTTGTTGAGCACAACATAATTTCCCTGAAATGGTTTTATTTCTATTGTGAGCCTGAGGTGATGGCAGGTAGCTCATAACTTCAGGTAGTTTTATAGATTTACCAGGTAGAAGGCACCGGACAAATAGCATAGGCGCGTTTACCTGCCTGAAATGGGTTCCTCATTGCTCAGAAGAGACAAAGAGAAAGCAGGAGGCTACCTACTAGGTTTCTTTCCTCGGGAAACACAAAGCGAGGTCAAACACTGGGACTAGGAAAAAGAGGGTAGGGGTCATGAGAGCCCTTCAAAGAAAAAGCCCGGCCCAGAGCTCCACAAGCCAGTTTCCCCAGGCCCAGAAAATGAACCCTGAGCCCTTTTCCTCCTAATTCCCGCCCACCTCCAGAGAGACCCTCCAACTCCCTCTCCCCTTCAGCTCTTGGCTCACTTGTCCCTGATGATGGTCTGCAGCTCCCGGATCTGCTCATTCATAGGCAGCAGCTTAAGCTGAGCCCCAATCTGCGAGGAGAGTTGGCTGTCCCTTAGGAGGGAGTCGCCGGCCAATGCGTCACAGTTGCCACTGCCACACTTGTGCTCCGGGTTGAGGCTGGCGCTGCTGCAGGCCTGAGGGCTCCCCTCCCCCAATACACTAGACTGGGCAGGACTGGAGAGGAGAGCCGGTTTGGCCTTGGGGGTGTTGTTTCCCACCACATAATCTGGGATCAGGTCGCCGGGTCGCCGCGGCTCAGGGCTTGGGGCAGAGGCAGAGTTTACTTGTTGGTTGTGACAGGGCATGGAGTCCGGACACCGTAATTCCGTGGCCATACACCAACCCCGCAGCGACCAACACTTAAGAATAAAGGAGAACAGGGAGAAAGGGTGCGTGCTCACGAGCTCTCCGGACCACCTCCTAGGAATTTCTAGCCTCCTTGCCCTCTCACCCCCTAGACTTCCTCGCCCTTCCCCGGCCCCGCCCACCAATGTTCAGCCTGCTAGACATTCTATTGGCTTCTCTCCCTGCCACTCTGCGGCAGCACACTGTCAGTTAACCCTTTGAGTCACTCCAGTGCTGTGAGTAGATAGGCAGGTCAGTTGAGGCTAAAGATGCTTAGTTTCTGGGTCTTTCGGGAGCCCCTGAGGATTCTGAATGCAGAACTTTGGGTGAATTTTAGAGCTAGGAAAAACTAGGGGGATGATAAAAATGATGACATAAACAGACTTTGTTTCTTGGCAGAGAGCTTATACTTAATAACTACATCTTCAGTTAGCTTCTCATGTGACGGAAAGGACCAAAGTTCTGCCACCCTGAAGCTGCTTTGGTTAAGGTGACCAGACGGGACAGTCCCGATTTTTAACAATTTTCCCGCGTCCCGCGGCGTTTTTAAAAAGTCCTGCATTTTGGAAAGAATGCACGACTAGCTAGGGAACGGCTGGAGAACGGGAAGGGAATATACGGTTTTGGGCGGCCATGTGGCTATTTAGCCAGGATATGAGTTTTATATTATTTTTGTTAATTTTATAATGTGAAACTTTAATAATAACAAATAATTGTTGAGAACTGCTTATCAAAGTTCACATTGTTGATCAGTTGTTAGAATTCGACTACCACGATTGGACTTAATGAACAATAGCATTTTGGGGGATTGGCAACGACAAAAACATTTTGTAACTGTCTCTCAGACAATACACATCATACTGCATGCTAGTAAGCTAGTTAAACAAGTGATGTCATTACAAATCAGCTATTCAGATAATTTAGTAATTTATTTATTTCATAAATACCTAAATTTTCTTGAATTTAGCAGACAGTACTCATTATTTATATTTTATAGTGGCGGCAAAAAGTCTAGCACCGGCCTTCAAAGTGACACGATTATACATAATTTTTATTTATTTATTATATTTGTAAATTGTACTTATGTTGAAATTTTAAAAAATATATTACAATACTATTTTTGCGTTCCATGAAAATTTTTGTTGCTCCATATAGACCAAACTTTTAATCAAGAACACCCCTGCTCTCCACACGGTCAGTGGTGTCCCGCTTTACCAATGTTAAAATCTGGTATGAGGCTTAGAAAGAACCTATCCAAGAAATTCAAAGAACCTGATTCAAGAAGTAGAATTTAGAGTGTTCCCTTTAGCCTAATTTGAATTAAGTATGATAAACAAGAGAGCTTCAGGCAGGGACCTGGTAGCTAGATACCCCCTGTGTCCGAATGTTTCTGAGTTACCTAGCAAGGACATTTTTGCCATATGTATTTTGCTCTTCCTCAACTACCTGAAAACCCCCCATTTTCACTTCTGAAATCTAATGTCCTGTTCCTCTCCTTTTCTCATTTGTTCAAAATGTCTTATATACCTAATGTTGCCTCATTGTCTTTGGGAAATTTTATGGATTTATTATATCTATGTGAATTCCCCCGGTGCATGTATTAAACTTTGATTTTCTTCTGTCACTCTGTCTTTATTCACTTGGTTATTAGCCCAGCCAGAAGAACTTAGAAAGTGGTATGAAAAGTATTAATATAGTTTAGCCCCCACTTAACCAAAAGAAAAAGTAAAAATATGGCTAGAATGCTGCCCAACAACCTGCCCTCTACTAGACTGTTCAACCAGTTTCAGCTTCCCAAGTGTACTCGACTGCTAGAGTTTTCATTATCTGATTTGGTTGGATCCTACACTGTACAAATACTATGAGGATTCTGATAGCATTTTATTTTACTTTTTTAAATCAATCTTTATTGTTCATATTATTACAAAGGTTACTCATTTCTTCCCCCCTCCATGGTTCCCACCCCACCCTCTGCCCTTTCCCCACCCCCATTGTCCTCATCCATAGGTGCACAGTTTATGTTCAGTCTCTTCCCACATCCACCACTCCCCTTTTCCCCGAGAATTGTCAGTCCACTCCCCTCCCATATCTCTGATTCCATTATAATCAACAGTTAATATTGTTCATCAGGTTTTTTAATTTCCTTGTTTTTTTTTAAATTAATAAACTTTTGTATTTTTAAGAATAAATTTTAAAATCTAATAATTTTAAACCTTGTTTTTTCTGCCCTGGGAACTGAGAAGCAAACTTGATTACATGTAAACTTGCCCTTAGGCTATCAAAAGGTGTAGCCATTCAAATGTAAATGAATACCTTGTTTAAAGATAGCTGCTGCTGGAATTGGATTACCTTTTCTGGGTGGGAAGGGCTTGTCCTCCTCTTTCTCCATTAAAATTAAGGTGTTAGCTTTAAAACGTCTTTTTGGCAAGAGACCTTAAACTTTCAGAACTTTAAATTTTTCAGGTAGTAAATCAATTACTTAGTATTTTCTCAAATCAATAATACCTCCACATGCCCAAGGATACACTTCACACAAAAGACACTTCCAAATACATCAACCAACCTCATCCAGACCCCACACAAGGCACTCACAGATCAATACCCCAGCGCTATAATAACAACACATCCAGATATAAGCCTTCATCACTTGATTCATCAGACCCTCAAGTTCCCCCAAAAGTTTCCAGCCATGCCTGAGAAGCAGCCTAGGGGCATGGGCAGGCAAGGAGCTAGCTATTCCGGGCAGGCTTCTTAGGGCCTGGCCTTTGTTGCTCTGGTCCACTCCACAACCAGCTGCTCTGGGTCTGGCCACTGTCGCTCCAGGCCTGGATGCTGCTGCTCCAGGCCTGGCTGCTCCCGACCTGGTTGTTCCCTACCCGGCTGCTCTGGGCCCGGAGGCTCCGGGCCTGGCCGCACCCGGACTGGCTGCTCTGAGCCTGGCCGCTGCTGCTCCAAGCCCAGCTGCTCCAGGCCCAGCCGTTGCCGCTCCAGGCCCGACCCAGCTGCTCTAGGCTTAGCTGCTCCGGGCCTGGCCGTTCCCAGCCTGGCCGCTCTGGGCTTGGCTGCTGTTGCTTTGGGCCTGGCTGCTCCCGACCCGGCTGCTATGGGCCCGGCCGCTTCAGGCCTGGCTGCTCCTGGCCTGGCTGCTGCTGCTCCGGGCCTGATAGCATTTTTTTTTAAAATATATATTTTATTGATTTTGTACAGGGAGGAAGGGAGAGAAATAGAGAGTTAGAAACATCGATGAGAGAGAGTCATCGATCGGCTGCCTCTTGCACACTCCCTGCTAGGGATATGCCCGCAACCAAGGTACATGCCCTTGACCGGAATCGAACTCGGGACCTTTCAGTCCCCAAGCCAACGCTCTATCCATTGAGCCAAACCGGTTTCGGCCTGATAGCATTTTAGATCCACTACTGGGGCAGCAGGATGGTAAGAAGCCAAGAAAATTCCTTGACAATGGGGAAACTGAGAAAACTGATTCAAAATGGTTGTGGGCACATCCCCAGTAGGGGGTGTGCAAGAGGCAGCTAATCGATGATTCTCTCTCATCGATGTTTCTAGCTCTCTATCCCTCTCTCCTTCTCTCTGTGAAAAATCAATAAAATATATTTTTTTTAAAAATAAAGTCAACAATATTTTAAGCAGAGTTATAAGAATTATTCTCAATTCATTTAGTCCTATAGTTATTTTTGTTTATCCTGATTATTTGCCAGTATTTTTTAAATTCAGTTATTCCTTGAAGTTCTATAAATCTTCATCCAGTTCAAAGATATGACCTGATTACAAGCCTGCAATTTAAAGTCAGAGGCCTTCTCATGGATTTTTCTAAAGATATAATATACCTACAAATGCATCAGTGTAAAATAATGGCTGTCCATAAATGAGAAAATTTAAAAGTGGCATGGTTATACTATATAATAAAGCAGTGATATGCAAATTTACCATCACTCCAACACACAAGATGGTCGCCCCCATGTGGACACAAGATGGCGGCCACAAGATGGCCAGCAGGGAAGGGCAGTTATGGGTGATCAGGCCTGCAAGGGAGGGCAGTTGGGAGAAACCAGGCCTGCAAGGGAGGGCAATTGGAGGTGATCAGGTCTGCAGGGAAGGGCAGTTAGGGGCAACCAAGCCTGCAGGGGAGAACAGTTGGGGGGGGGGCAGGCCTGCAGGGTAGGGCAATTGCGGGGGGGGGGGGGACCAGGCCTGCAGGGGAGCATAGTTGGGGGTGACCAGGCCATTAGGGAAGGGCAGTTAGGGGCAATCTTGGGATGGCAGGGGAACATTTAGGTGTCGATCAGTCTGGCAGGGGACTGGTTAGGGGGTGATCAGGCAGGCAAGCAGGTGAGTGGTTGGGAGCCAGCAGTCCTGTATTGTGAGAAGGATGTCCGACTGTCCCACAGGGATTGGGCCTAAACGGGCAGTCACACATCCCTCGAGAGGTCTTAGATTGGAGAGGGTGCAGGCTGGGCTGAGGAACACACCCTTCCCGTGCATGAATTTCATGCACCAGGCTTCTAGTAGATTGATAAAAAAAAAAACAAAACAAACAAAAAAAAAAACTTTGCTTTTCTATAAAATATAACATTCCAAGACAACAATTTCTTGTTAAATAATAATTCCTATAAAATGAAATAGAGAATAATATAAAATTTTTATACTTTTAGATTCAATTATAATTTGATCATATAAAGAATTAATAATAGGTAAGATTTTAAAATAAGACACATGGCTTATTGCAAGTGGTGTATTGAGCATTGAAAATAATTTATAAACTTCCAATATGTGTAACACAAATACCCAGAGTATCGTTGGCAGATGCCCCCACAGAGAGATTCATTAATCTTGGTTTGCCTGAAGTCCCTGATTAGACACATGCTACCCCCCTGAAAGTTTCCTGTTTGAACTTGGCTCTGAATCTTTGCAAATTCCTTTCTGAAGCAGACCGAAATTCCTATAACATTAATTTTAACAAAATATGTGTATATAAAAAGAATATAGTTTTTAATTTTTATTTGACAAAGCTCCCCATGTAATGTCAAGTATATTAAATTGGCTTAATTTCATTCAAAAATATTTCTTTTAAGAAGAGAGAATAAATCCTCGAGTCATT